GGGGGGGGGGGGGGGGGACGGGACCAGAAGCAAATGATCCCAGTTTTAAAAATGAACAGAGGACTTGAATAGATAATTTATTAAACAGTACATAAAAGTGGCTGATAAACATTGACAAGATTGTGTCATTCATCATTTGGAAATGCCAATCAAAATCATGATGAGACATTACTTCACTTCCATCAACTTGGCCACAATTAAAAGTAAAAGAAGAAAATTAGTGCTGATAAAATATGGAGAGTGTGTGAGGAATTCCCAGATACTGAGGATGGGAGTGGAGGAGATGCAGGTGTTGAGGAAAGCAGCAGGAAGTGCCCCCCCCCCCCCGACGTTAAAAGAGGATGAGATCTGTGTCTGGGCATCTGATTCCAAGGGGTTGGACTCTAGAGCTGTCTGCACACATATGTTCATAACAGCAGTATTTACATTAGGTAAGAGATTATGCTGTTTAACTGTCCTGTAACAGGTGAGTGGATAAAAAATGTGTTTTGGGTTGAGCCACAAACATGTGGGTGATTCAGGATCAGTAGTTCGAGATCATCCTTGGGTACACAGTGAGTTCCAAGCCAGTGTCATCTGTCTAAAGCAAGGATATGTTAGATACTCTGGAGCATTATGCAATTTTGAAAATGAAGAAAAATGCTTTCATGCTACCACGTGTGTGACACTGGAGGGGATCTGTTTAAAGGGAGTAATTCATAAAGAGGCAAATACTGTACATTGATGTGATACCAAACCACGGGTAACAAAATTAAAAAAAATAAACATATAGGTTTTCATTAAACTTATAGAGCCACATAAAAATACTAATAAGTACATTAAGACCCAAAAAGAAAACCAAAAGTAGAAAGCCAGTTCCTGCATCTTTGGGGAGCAATGGAGGATTCAGCAGGCAGTGAATACAGAAGCATATTTTGAGAAGAAAAAGTAGTATGGAAATCCGCTTTGCTATACTGTTCAGGAATGTGGCATGAAGGGCACATCTGAACATAGGACAGACCTAATTTTTCCCCTTAGTAGGGAATATTAGATGTACGTAAAAGAAATCAGTAGATAATATGACTACAAAAGCCAAGACATTACACTTCTTAATTGAAGTAAATATCATAGTCCATCAATTCTGTTCCTTTGGAGAATTTGATTAACAGAGGGAGGATGGGGAAGACTGGTCTGTGGGCACTGAGTTACAGTTAGACACATTCTGGAAGTTCTGGAGTGCTTTTGTAATGCATGGTGGCTATAGATAACAGCAGTGTGCTGTCTGTTTTATTTATTTTGTTTTGTTTTATTGTGATAGGGTCTCATGTACCTCTGGCCTCAAACTTTCAAATGTGACTGAGGTGAGGCTGGCCTTGAACCCTTGATTCTGCCTACACCTCTCAAATGACAAAATTATAAGTATGTACCACCAGTCCAGTCAAAGTCCATGTATTTAAAAAAATAGGAAAAAATGTTTTGAATGTTTTACCATAATGAAACGTGTTTAATCTAATTTAAACATTATAGAAGACATATGTATATTTATATTGAAACATCACATAATACCTCAAAAATATGCATGTTTTATGTTTTTATGTATCCATTAAAAGTAAATTTAGAAGCTGAGAGATAGTTTAGAGATTAAAAGCACTTGCTGCTTTTGCAAGAAATCAGAGTTCATTACCCAGCCTCCATGGTGGTTCAAAATTGCCTGTAACTCTAGCTCCAAGGTGATCTGATAGCTGATGCCCTCTTCTGGCCTCTTAGGGCTACTGCACTTACATGCTATCATTTACAAAAATTGAATATACATATATAATTTTAAAAATATAAAAATTATACATATATTTAAAAGATTTTTAAAAATAAATAAATTTAGGATTCAGGCACAGTGACATGTACATGTAGGTCCAGCTCTCAGGAGGTGGAGGCTTGAGGATCTTGAGTTTAAGACCAGTGTGGAACACATGGAGAATTCAAGGCCAAACTGCTATCACTAATGAGATCTTGTCTCAAAAAAACAAAGCAAAAAGAAACAAATTTAAATAAAGATGGAGCAGTTCACTTTCTCTCTAAAAACACTTGTCTCTACTGGTGAACTATGATGACATGGACAACACGTTTTTAAAAAGGTGTTTAACGTAAGTATTCACACAGTGTGTAATGTGTAGTATGTATTACGTATGCAATTTTGTGTATGTGTATTATGCATGTCAATGTTTCTCATGACACAGATGAATGAGATCTAGAACATTGGTGTTTAGTCCTGCCGGAGTGGGACAGAGTGTCTAAGAGCTGGAGCTGGGTCTCTGCACAGGGGAGGGAGGTAAAGGCAGACCTGGACATTCTCCCGCTGCAGACTCCCACAGTTCTGTGAGTTCAGAGACGCTGGAGGCAATTTAAGAAGGAGGTAAGAAACCACCCTCCTCTCCCCACCAAACCTAAGATAAGGTGTGACTCACGTTTCTCTGGCTGATAGATCAGGTCGCAGCGCCTCATGTAAAGAGCTACTAGGGCCGTGAACACAGACAGAGAAGGAAGCAGGACCACAATAGCCCCAGCTCCTGAGTGCTGGATGCATGAGATTCCCAGAAAGACAGCAGCTCCACTCAGGTTCATGGACCAGGAGGCCCTGGAGTACACACAGAGAGAGAGAGACAAGAAAATTCCCAGAGGTTATTTTACATAAGTCTCGAGTTGTGGGTGTTTTATTTCATATATGGATTAAGAACAGGTGCCAGGTACCTGATCCAGACTTTACAATAGTGTTTCCTCGTAAGTGTAGGGACACCACCACCTTATTACTTTCCTTGTCCTTGTTCTGCTTAGAATAGGTTCAGTGAGAAATGATTCTTTTACCTTAACAGGTCAGCATGCTTTTTCTGTTAGGAGCTTTATGTAATAAAGGTCAGGCTAGGTAGGTTCAGCGTATTTTTTTTTTTCAGCAGCAACTGAAGAAGGTGAAGCTGAGGACTATACCTAAGCTGAGGACTATACCCTCACCCCCACCCCGTGAACCTGGAAAATGCCCATCATTTAAGAACAAAATATCCCAAAGTACAGAAAAACACAGAAACCTCAGGATTACCCAGTTACACCTCAGGTTAGGCATTAAGCCAAAGGAATGGGTGAGGTTTAAAGAAAACCTTCTCCCTTTCTAATGACCAGCATCATGAAAAAGCTACCTACCCCAGAGTCTATGCAAATTATTTCTGAGGAGATACTCTTCACCTTCCAACCTTTCACTGGATCTGCATTTAGCATCAGAACATTCTGGCTTCGAATTCAGTGGCATAATCCTGCTATGTCAAGTTAAAAATCTGTTGTTGAGGTTCAGTACAATACAAAACAGTACAATACAGCCGGGCGGTGGTGGCGCACGCCTTTAATCCCAGCACTCGGGAGGCAGAGGCAGGCGGATCTCTGTGAGTTCGAGGCCAGCCTGGTCTACCAAGTGAGTTCCAGGAGAGGCGGGGCTCCACAAAAAAAAAAAAAAAAAAAAAAAAAAACAGTACAATACAATGCAACACAACACAATATGATACAGTTTACTCATGTAAGTACAGATGCTGCCATTGTATATGAAGTTTTGTTATGTGAGTATTTATATTTTGGCTGTGCAAATTCTAATAGAATTACATTTTCATATACTTGCTTTGTGAGTAGAAGTTTAAAGGGTTTACATGACTAAATTCCCCTTGATTAACTCAGTACCAATTGATGAGGGACTCCAGTGAACTCTGCAGAATTCTTTTCCCTTTACTCTATGGTCTAGTTAGGGGAGCTATGGCCTCTCATCTTTGTGAAAGTCACAGGTTGTTCCTGTGATCAGTGGGATGTGTCTATGTAGAAGTGTGGTCAGTCCATGGGAGTTCCTCATGGCATACCTACCATGACTTCCAACGACCTTTCTCTCTCTCTCCCTCCCTCCCTCCCTCCCTCCCTCCCTCCCTCCCTCCCTCTCTCCCTTTCCTCTCCTCCTCTTCTACCCTTCTTTTCCCTCTGTCTCTCCCTTCCTATACCTCCCCTGCCCACTTTCCATCCATCCTTGGCTCCTCTCTTCATATTCCCCCTCTATCCTCCCTCTATTTCCCCGTCTCCTTTTCCCTTCCTGTCCCTCCCTTTCTCCCCTCTTCCCCATCCCTCCTTCCCTCCCTTTCCCTCATTTTCCCCCATGCACTACCCCTATGTCTCTTCACAACTCTGTTTCCTCTGTCTTCCATTTCTACACCTCCGCTTCTCTCTGTGAACTGCAGACTCCTCCCCACTCTTCACGAATCCCCACCCATTTCCCTCTGTAGACCCTGCTACTTCCTTCTATCCCCTCCCACCACACTCCCTTACACAACATTTTCTTCATACACCCTCTACCACCCCCGTCACCCATTGACTCCCCTTTTCCACCACAGTTCCTCAACCACACACATCCAGCACTTTCACCATCTCCTCCCCACACCCTTCCTTCCTATCACCTTCCTGCCCCGCCCCCAACAACCTGGTTCACCTCCACTCCCAGGCCTCCCTTCACCTTCCATCTGTTGTCTACAACCACTTTCCAATATCGCCTACAGCCCCTTCTCCACCACTTCCATACCCTGTCTCTGCTATCAGCAAACCACCGGCCCATCGACCTGCTATCCACTGCCTTCTCTACCCTCCCTGCTCCTTCCCTCTACACGCTTCATCACCCATCATTCTCCTCCACAAACCCCTGTCAACTCCATCCATATCCCATACCCACGGTCCTTCTAACCTCCCTCCACCCACTTCATCTACTGCCCCTCCATAACCCCCACACATCTGCAGCTCTACCATTCACTTACCAGCCAGCCTCATCCATATTATCCCCCCCACACTCCTCCATACTCTCCATCACACTCATCCACACCTCCCTCCTCTACCCCACTCCACAGCTCCTCCACTCTTCACCTGCCATCCAGTGTGCTTCCACTCTCTCCATCCACTGCCCCCCCACACCCTCCTGACCTGGCCCCCCCCACACACACCTTCAATTTCTCTTTCACTATCCATCATTATCCACCTCCTCCATCTGTCCCTCAGTACCCCTCCACACCAACGTCTACACTCCCTTCGACACACCCCACTCCACTGTCTATCCACCACCAACATACCTCGATATCCCATTTACCCCATGCAACCATGCCTTATCAAACCCACATCCACCTGCATCCACCCTTTTAAAATTCCATCTATCCTCTGTCCACCTTCACCAATTCTTCATGTAGCCCCTCCATCCTTATCCACCTCAACTGGCCATAATCCACACCTTATCCAACTTCACTTGCCCTTATCCATTCCCTATACACCTTCATTCATACCAGTCTATCACTATTCACTGATATCCACCATCCATCCAACTTCCATCCACCCCATTCATACACTATCCACCAGCAGCCACTCCCCATCTACCTTCATCCACCTCCATCCAACCTTACATCTGCTTCCCATCCAGCCATATCCATTACCATGTTCGTACTCATACATCTCCATCTACTCTTTTCCAACTGCTATCTGACCTCATTTACCCCCATTGCTTCTCAGCCAGTCCTCACGCATCTTATCTACATCCACAGCACACTCCCAGTACATCCTCATCTACACTGTACCAAATTCTTATCCAACCACTGTTGCCATGCCCCCGCCTATTCACTTCCCCTCATTTCTCTAATCCACTTTCCCGTCTGTTCCTCCATCCACCCTCTATTCACACCCATTCACGCCCCATCTACCACCATCCCCTCCCCATTCATTCCCATCCACACCCTGCCCCATCAGGACATTCCTTCTTACTATCAAGTAGGGTCCATTATATAAACATTTACTATTTATCCACACACAATGGACAAAGAAGCTGAGAAGGAAATCAGAGATACATCACCCTTTACAATAGCCACAAATGACATAAAAATACCTTGGGGTAACACTAACCAAGCAAGTGAAGGACCTATATGACACTTACCAGGTTTCTTTTCTTTTTTTTTTTTTTTAGGCTTTCAGGGCGGTTTCTAAGAATTCTTTGCCAAATACAAGCTCATAGCACTTTTCTCCCACTTTTTCTTCAGGAAAAGAATCTGAGACTTGGAGAATTGAGGTGACTCATCTGGTTTGATCTAGCTGTGCTGCAGGCCCATAAGCCAGAGCCATTTGCCACCATGCAGCCTACAAGCAGAGCCATAGGCTTGGCGATCTTTTTGTGCCTCTTTCCTGGACTCTGCAGTTATCAGTTTTATGACACCATTATTTCCTTATTCATCCGGGCTTTGACATTTGATCAACGTGTTTCATCTGTCATTAACTATAAATATTGTCCTTCCTCTTTGAATTGGTGGTCAGAAGACATGAATTGGAGCTAAACTCTTACAATCATCCACGCCCTCCCTGACCTGCCATTCTCTGGAATTCAGTGTAATTTTTAAAATAGAGATCATACCTTCCAGACAAAGAAAACTAGATGTTAGCTGTGTGGTGCTAAGCAAATGTCTCTGTTGCATTTTTCCCTCCAATCCTGACTTAGGAAACAAGAACCGGGACATGAAGCCCAGGAAAAGGGGTGCAGTGTTTGGAGATCAAACAGATATGTTTGGTGTGCATCATACAGGGCTTGGTTGGCCAAGGTAAAGGTATGGGGTTTTATTCTTAGATGACTGAGGGAACTTTGGAAGGAAAGAGAACATGGGACTGATCAAATCTGACTCCAAGTGAAACAGAATGAAATGATCATAGTAGCTCTGTGATTATAGGCAAAGCATGGCATGGAGTCATAACCACTGTGATGGTCTGGATCAAGGGTGAGAGAGAGCTGGCCAGGGGTGCCATAGGAAAGGGATAAAGGGACATGAGTGAGAGGTATGTGTAGAAAGGGGTATGCCACTGGATGGCACTGGCTCTGAAACATACCCACTCATTTTTGTCTCTGTGACTTTATAACTCCCTTCGTTTGCCATGTCTTGCTTTCAAAGTTCACATCAGGTCTCTTCTTCAGTACTCTGAAATATTCTGTCATTCTCATGCTGAACTTTTAAAGGAAACAGTGAGTTCATCTTTGTCAGATGAACTTCTTGTGTGTAGATGGTCAAACTTCTCACCAGCATCATCTTACTCTGCATCTCGACTTCTCTATCCTCATTGACCTAGCCCAGAACTAGAGCCACAGTGAATGGACAGTATATGAGAAAATGAATAAGAATGTAAGAAATACATAGGCCATTAAAGGCTCCTAATAATTAACATGGGGCTGGGGTGGGGGCTAACAGAAAGCCAAATAAGATCATGATAAATAAATTGATTTGCTATAACCCATGAACAAGAATTTATTTGTACAGGTGGGGTACCCTATTAGAATTTTCTAGCACAACCAGGTAGAGTTCTGAGGCTCAGCCTGGGCTTAACCTTTCATGCTGTGGCAAACTGTCCTCTTGAACCATGGCTATAGCAACTGAGAGGTGGGAACCAAGAGCAATATTGCATTACTTTCACTCTTTAGAATTCCTTCACCTCTGTCAATGATAAGCAAGCAGTACTGAGAAAATACAAGAAGACCCTCTGTGACTCTTCAGTGTACCATAAGGTGATACACCCCAACTTGATCCAAAGAAGGTCAAGGAAAATGAA